ATCTGATGCTGTCGCACTGGAGGTGGGAGTAAAATATTTCAAAAGTGCATCTGAAGAAAAAAAAAAAAGAAGTATATGTGATCTAAGCCATACGTGGGACATGGGATTTAATGAAGCTATACATAAAATAGTCTAAGAGTGCAGTCCACACACATTTTACATATGTATACGTGTGTGTAATTTATTATAATATTGAGAAAGCTAAAGGATGAACTATTAACTGCACTTCAATACTGGAGTAAACTTAGCAGCCTATAGCAGATAAAGAGGAAGGAAAACTAAGAATTTTAAGGAATAGCAGGGAAAATACATTCAACAGTTTAAATAACATCTGAACAGGCCTAATACTGACTTTCTAAATATCCCTGATTATTTTAAGATGGTGGTAGTATGTTACCGTAAGTTAACTATAGCTATTGAGCTAGTGATTATAAACAATGCTGCTATCGTCTGAAATAAGCTAGCAAGTTAGCATTGCTCTGATATCAGTAACTACGATTCATTAACTTAACGGGGTTCTCACCAGAAATGTCTGACAGCGTGTCTTCGCGACACTCCCTCCCTGGCTAACTGACATGTTCAGGCTAATATTTAACAACAAGCGCCAATGTCGTCTTCACTGCTAACGAAGGCGGTCTTCGCTAATCCTCCCCCCATAACGCCGTTAGCTAACGGGGGTTAGCGAAGACCGTCTGACGACGGTAGAGACACTGCATGGGCGCTTGTGGTTAAATATTTGCCTGAATACATTGTGTCATCACAAGCAGCGTAGAGAAATAATAATTTTCCCGCTACATAATCTCGAAAACGAGTAGTGGCCCAATTTGCAGCGTATTTTTTCAGGCAGCAGCGTAACGAGCCGCTACTCTGTTACAACGCCGGCCAGAACCCTGCTTAAACTAACTAATTCCATCGCATTGACGTTATCCTACCTTTTTCTTTTTGCCGTTTTTCTTCCTCTTCTTTCCCTTCCCTGAGCGCCAGACTCTTTTACTCGCTTCATAGTGTATAAATCAATCTGCAATCTGCTGCCAAATACTGCCCGGGCGGTCTGACCACCTGCCCTCCTCCGCTTTTGGCGCCCCCTGTGGATGTCGGCTCCCTTAGCATTTGCCTAGGGCCGGCTCGCGCGCACCGTCCTCGGAATCCTCCACGCCTCCCTCTCCAGCACAACCTCGGCGGCACTTCCCCTCCTCGGATCTCAGCACGGACGAACCTCCACCTGCACCCCCCTCGACTGACACTCCTGCATCTGTTTCCTGCTCCTGGTGACCCCCACTCCCTCACCCTTATTAATAAAACCTTTTCCTTATAACCTGTTTCTCCTGCCTCCCCTTTTTGTTCGGGTCCGCCCGCACAGCCACCGTACACGGACCGTCACAATATGAATATAAACAAATGTTGTCAGCGGTTTACTGTAATGCCTACAGTAAACAGTAAATAAAGATTATAATAGCAACACTGTAGGGGGGGAAAAAACTACATGCAAAATGCACCATAATCATCATCTTTCTACTGTAAATACTGCAATAAATTTGTCAGTAATAAAGTGTAAAGTTATAAAAATATATATCATATAACAGTTTTTTTCTCTTTCTAGCTCTTCCACTGACACGACATTGTAAAAACAGTTTCTTATCCTACAGCTCTTCCGGTGCCACAGCATCTCTTAACACTGTTTTTCTTTTTACAACCCGTCGTAAACAGTCAAAGTTTGCTCTTATAACAACCCAACAACAAAACATAAATTGCGCTCTCTCCTTAAAGCTCTTCCAGATCAGTCAACAAGATATAACACTGTTCTCTCACAGCTCTTCATGTGTGATAACATAATCGTCTTCTCAATAACAGTTTTGACTGCAATAACAGAAATGTGTGTATCCTCCATGCCATACCTGTACATAACCATGTGTATATTCATCATGTCATGTCATCCTCTCTGCTTCCTTCTTCCTCTGTTCGGCCAGCTGAATCAGCTCCTCATTCTTGGCCTTTTGCTCCATTTCCTTTTGTTTCGTTTCATAATGTCAGATGTGTATATAATGTTTCATCATCAGCACAAAAGTTAATTCTTACCACTTCTAGCTACAGCCAAGAGTCATCATCTGAAAGCCTGAATTTGAAGGTTTTTTTTATAAAGAACAAAGTGTTGTTCAGTGCATTTGCCCTATTTCCCTGCCGCACCAAGGGCTCTTTGATTTTTCAGCCTTTTCACTCAAAATGACATCCCTGTACAACTAAACTGCATCCTCAGTAATGTTTTGAGAAAGAGGTATTTTCTGCCGGACTACTTTTGTTTGTGACGTATCACAAACAGGTTTCTGATCAAGATATCTTATCTACCTTCAAACTCCGACTGCAACAAAGAAACCTGTTGATCCTGTTTTTAAATAGTTTCACTGTTGATATTGTCAGTATAAAAACCAGAGCCGACATATTCAGCCACAGACTCTCCTGCTGCCTGATGTCGGGTAAGTTTCACTGAAGCTTTAATGTTTGCTTAATACTTTGTCTTAAAGTTCACGTTATTATGTTTTTATTGATTTGATTTTAATGTTTGCAACTAATCCACAAATAATTAAATAAGTGTTTTGGTTCTGTGAAAATATAATGATATTTTTTTTCTTTTCTTGTTCTGGGGTATTGAAGCACTGGTTACTTGAAGGAAAAGTCATGCCATGTCTACAATAAACACAGCTGGACGAGAGCAGGTACGTTCAGACTGAGCATACTAATACACAAACAAATGTAATTTGTATTAATGTGACATTGTATTTGTTATTAAAAGACAGACATTTTGGGAGATCAGTTAAACCATATGTAAACATCCATAAAATATATATAAATACAGTAAACACATTTTATTCAGAAAGTATGCAGACCCTTTCACTTTTTCAACATTTTTTTCTGGTGTGAATTCATTTTTAAATTATTGAATTTGGTTATTTACCCCATTCATATACAATCAATAAACTTTAACAACAAAGTCAAAACATGCTTTTAGAACTTTGTAACCTCCTTAAAAAAAAAAAATTAAAAAAAGGGATTTCTCATTTACAGAAGTGTTTCGATTTTTAATCGGAGACTCTTTGAAGGCCTCTTTGGCAGCAGTTACAGTTTCTAACTTCTTGGGAAAGTCTCTGCAGGTTTTGTACATCTGGATTTGGGTAGTTAACTCATTCATCCTCCCAGGGTCCACCTGTGAACTGCCATCTTTAAATCCTTCCACATATGTTCTGTGGGGTCCAAGTCTGAATTTTCATTGGGCCTCTCTAATGTTGTCTTTTCTGCGTGCTGGGGTGTACTGTGGTGTTATGACGTGAACTATCATCCTAGTCTCAGGTCTCTGCATTCTGAAGAGGGCTTTTTTCAAAGAACCTGTAGTTGGCTGCATTCATTCTTTTTGATTCTAACCAGTCTTTCTGGCTCAGCTGCTGAGACACACTATGTGTCACCATATGGTATGATGCCACCACAGTGTTTTAAAGTAGGAATGATGTTGGAAGGTTTGTAGTGGTTGTGCCAGAGAATGCTTCTGCACAGATAGTTCAGTTTTAACTTCTCAGATCAGAGAATATATTTCGTTGCGCTTTTCAGAGTCCTTTGAATTCGGCAATGTCTCCCTCTTATCACTTGTGTCCTCCATCTTACCGCTGTACCATAAAGTCCTGATTGATTGAGAGTTGTTGAAATGGTCGTCCTTCCTGCAGGTTCTCTATCTGTGCAGAAGACCTCTGAAACTCTGTTAGAAGGATTGTTAGGTTCTTGGTCTCCTTCCTGAACAAGACCCTATTTTTTCAGTTACTCAGTTTGGCTGAATGGCCATCTCTATGAAGAGTCCTGGCAGTCAAAAACTTGTTTCATTTCACAGCTATTGAAGAAACTATGAACCTGGAACATTCAGGGCTTCAGAAATAGTTTCAGTCCTGTACCCTGATCTGTACTCCACTACAGTTTAATGGTGGAAGCCTACAGAAATTTCTAAGAGGTCATGGCTTGGTTTTTGTCCTGATATGGGGACAATGGGATCTTATACAACCTTTGCACAGTTTGACTTCATTCAAAGTCAAGACACATTTCAAGTATTATGAAAACAGACACGATGCATCAGACTACCATTTTGAGCCGTCGCAAAGGCTGCTTTTGTAAATGTGAGGTTTAGAATTTTAATAGATTTGCAAGAAAAAACTGAAAATGTTTTTACTTTGCAATTAAATGATAAGAGTAAAGATTGATGGAAAAATCTAAATGTTACTAATTTAAATAAAATCTACAACACAATAACGTGTGCAAAACGTGAAGGGGTCTAAACATTTCCTGAGGCGACTGTTGTCTTTCCACAACAGTGATTAGTTTAACACCCCAGGCAAGTTTTAAGTTTTGAACAGGTGTTCAAAAATATAAGACTATATCATTTCTGAATAGAAAAATACATTATTGCTGTAATGTTTAGGCTTTTGTCTTGTATTATTTTTTTATTCTTCCAGAAGAAAAAAAATTCTCACATGAACAATTATGAAAAAATAACTGCTGTAAATGAGAGACTGTAGCTTTGGATTTTTAAGAAACTCACAAAAAGTTTCTTACATGTTTCCACTTGGACATTGTGGGTAAGTGAGTGAGTAAATTGGTGTGGAAAATGTTGTTTTATCCCTTTTAAAATGAAATATACAAGACTGTAAAGTGTGCTTAAAGTAAAGGGATCTGAATAATTTCACCACTGAACATTGCTCCAGAAGCCAGCCTCTTTCTAGTTTCACTTTCTTGACTCCTTGCATCACGTTTGCTTCCATAATCTGCTGATACTGAGTTAAATTCAAGCTTTTCTATTTTACTATATGTGATGTACAATGCACAATTATATTTTTGGTTGTTGATTTCTGGCAGACATGTACTACGGTTAATAACCTACAAAAAGTTTTTTTCTACGCTTTGAACTGAAATTCCGGATACGAATAACAGTGGTTCTGTGAAACTAAGATGTATTTATCATTGCCTGTAGATCTTCAAGCTAAAGGAGACGTGGGATTGCCTCCAAAATGAACACAGAAGAACAAGGGCGTGCAGGTACACTCTAATAAAGACTAGTAATATAAGATCAGTCATGACTGGCATTAAAGGTATCAAATAGAGTTTTTGATCACTACTACTACCATGAGGCAATGTGTCAGTATAAATGCGGAACCAGTTTTGTCTGCATTCTGCATGTGTGATTGTGCAGCACTTTAATACATCTATTAATACGTCTAGTCAGAGATTTCCCTCTGTTACTCTTACACACTGTTGATGGTGGTAATGTGTCAAGAAATGTGGTAATGCACATAAAGAAAAAGGAAGACTGTAACTTCTCAAGATAATGTTTTTGACTGCAATCCAAAAGTAAAATGCAATGTAATGTACTAATACTCATTAATTTCAACTTTTAAATTTGTGGCTACAGCAAAAAAAAAAATACTCACAGCTTAAAAATGCCAAGTTTTACATGAACTTGCACAAATATTTATGACTGTCTCACGTGTCTTCATTTAGTATGGGATTATGGCCATTTGGCTATTAGCTATGCATAAAGTCAGGCAAAGACGGAAACAGCCAGCCCGTCTCTTTACACAATCCAAAAAAAAAATATGGCTATTGACACCGCTAAAGCTCCCAAATGTTGTAGTCTATCTGTAAATGTTGCATGATCTCTAAATGTGATCTTCACTTGCTCTCTGACAGCCCTCTTGAACTTTCTTTCCAATACTGGACTGGAGGAATTTTATCCCAACAAGCTCACTCTGCAGTCTCTTTTGGAGATCAACAAAAACAGCATATATGAAAAAGCAGTTTCATCACTGGAAGATATACCATGGTGTTTTCTCAGAAATCTTTTTAAAATCAATGCTGAATGCAGGAATTGTACACAAATACCAACCAATCCTGAGGAAAACACTGAAGACCTTGACCTAGACCTTTATACTGCAGATGACTCTGAAAATAAGGTCAATGTTCTTGACCTCATTGTGGCGCTCTTCCATTGTTCTGACAGCTTCTTGCAACAGGAAATGGTCCTCAAGATGTCCATGTGCCAATTTTCTGTCCCACTGCTGTTGCCCCATGGCAATAAGAGTCAGTGCAGCCTGATGCTTTGGGCTCTGAGAGACATCGTGAAAGAGTGGCGTCCACATGATCTGTCTGAATCAAGAGGTTTTGTTGAAGACAACATTGTCCAAGCAAATATACCATTCTACTCCTTTGTGAGGCTGAAAAACTGCAGCTTATCAAAGTCCCAGATTTTGAATCAGGTTCTCAGCCGTGGACAGCAGAATCACAATATCTTCATACACAGAGACATGGAAGGAGGAGCACTTCAAAGAGAAATAGCCAATGGATTGGTAGAAGTTTGCTGGTACCTTCCCTGTGGAAGAGAAAATCTGGACATATTTCCAGAGCCAGTCGCCTTCGCCAATTTGCGAGGAGACATTTGTGAGTCACTTGCACAATTCAACTTTCTTTATCAAGTGTCAACTGCTACCTTTGTGTTTCTGGACAAAATTGAAGAAAATGAGCATGGGGTTCTTGCTTCTCTACAAAATGTTAAATCAAAACTCTTCTTGGTAGTTAATCGCAAGGAACGAGGTGCTAAAGATGACATGATGTCTGTCAAGAAAACAATGGAAACATTAGACTTACCAAAGAGCAGTGTGAAAACCAAAGACCCACGGGTAAATGGAGCAGAGTTTGCAAAGAAACTTTGCGCAGCCATCAAGACATCTCTCTTAGAAGTCAAAACTACAATAAGCATTGTAAATATGCTTGACAAAGCTGCTGAACTTGGTCTGTCTGTGGATGAAAGCAAAACTGAGGAACAAAGAAAAACAGCTAATGAGCTCGTAGGTGGCATTGGAGTCCGCAATGTCCCACAGTACAAGAATCAGCAACTTCCTCTGCAAGGCGATGACTGGAAAAGGTTATCACAGTTAGAAAAGGAGGAGTGTAGACTGCGGAAATCTGGTGAGGATTATAAATCTCAGCTTGAGGAAGAAATAAAAGGAATCAGAAAGAAACAAAGACAATACAAACTGTCCAAAGCAATGAAGACTTTCATTGAGAACTTATCTACAAGAGACAAAGAAAGAAGAAATGTATTTCTTAAGTGGATGAAATTAAAGCTTGACACATATTCAAGGAACAAACTGTGTGGACTGCGCAACAAATTTAAAGAGGAGTGCAAAAAAAAAGAAGTAAAAGTCATTGCAGAGTTAGATAAAGCTTTGCTGGAGAGCTCCTTAGGAATAGAGCATTACATGAGAGAGATGGGACTAATCTATGAGATTTACTTGCAGTCACAAGAAACTGTTGGCAAAATATCTCATCTACCAGGTGTGGCTGCTGAAATGTTGTTGGATGGTTATCCTTTAGAGCTCTTGGATGGAGATGCTTCTAATATCCCACAGAGATGGGTGACAGATGTGCTGATGGAGCTCCACAAGAAGGTTGGAGAGAGCAGCAGATTGTTGGTACTGACTGTGTTGGGTGTTCAAAGTTCAGGGAAGTCAACACTCCTCAACACCATGTTTGGTGTGAAGTTTCCTGTCAGCAGTGGCAGATGTACAAGAGGAGCCTACATGGTCTTCCTTAGAGTCGGAGAAGATTTGAAAAGGGAGCTGAATTATGACTTTGTGGTTCTCCTTGACACAGAGGGTCTAAAATCTCCTGAACTGGCACAACTAGAGGACAGTTATGAACATGACAACCAGCTGGCAACCTTTGTCATTGGCTTGAGTGATGTAACCATCATCAACATCGCAATGGAGAACGCAAATGAAATGAAAGATGTCTTGCAAATCACAGCTCATGCATTCTTGAGAATGAAGCAAATTGGGAAAAAGCCAGTTTGTCATTTTGTTCACCAAAATGTTGCAGGAGTCTCAGCTGATTCCAAGTGCATGACAGAGAGACAACATCTCTTGGACCAACTCAATGAAATGACTCAAATTGCTGCTGAAATGGACAGACAGCCTTCTGTCAAAGCATTCACAGATGTGCTGGACTATGACATAGAAAAAAACAACTGGAACATCCCAGGACTCTGGCATGGAACCCCTCCAATGGCACCAGTGAACACAGGTTACAGTGAAGCTGTGGCAGATTTCAAGAAAAATCTTTTGGAGTCAGTGGAAAGTGACAGAAGTAATGAAGCCATGCAGATCCCAGAGTTTCTAGAGTGGATGAAAAGTCTCTGGAAGGCAGTGAAGTACGAGAACTTCATCTTTAGTTTCAGAAATGTTCTTGTGGCTCATGCATATGACAACCTTTGCAAAGACTTCACTCAGTGGGAATGGGAGTTCAGAAAAGAGATTCTCTCCTGGCAGACAGAAGCAGAGACAGAAATCAAAAATGCAAACAATGAAGCTCAAGAGGAAACTTGGAATGGACTGGTTGAATTGAAAAAATCTGAAGTGTCCCAAAAAATAACAGATCAGCGAACACTAATGAAGGAGAAACTTCAGCAATACTACAAAAGGAAGGACAGACACATAAATCTGATAGAGAAATACAAAGCTGACTTTTTCAACAGTATCAGTAGTCTTGCAAATGAAATTGAACAATCTGTGACTACTAATCTGGATTGCATCCTTGCGCTTAAAAAAACTACTAAGAAGGCTCAAGACATACAGAGGAAATGTAGAGGTGAGATTGAGGAGAAGGTCATGAAACTCTTGCGTGACTGTAAAGACTCCACACTGTCTGATGAACAGCTGACCTGCGAGTTTGAAAAGATGTGGGCTGGAGCCACTGCAGAGTTGCCAGTATCTGGCCTGAAAGAGCACGATATCGCTGGAAGTGTCCTGACACAGTTGAGAAAAAACTTCTCAAACCTGAACGTCAATGAGGAATTACAGAACATTGACTTAACAGAAACTGGGAGGGGTCCATTTAAAGTCAGCCGGGACCATATAGACTCATGGCTTAAAAAGTACCTGTGGACAGGAGCATTGCAGAGCTTTACAAACAGCGTCATTGAGTCTTGCACACGGTTTGTATTTGATAAAGTTAAGACAAGTGGGGATTACCATGACTCTTTCACAATGGATCTTCTCGAGAAAATCAATGCATTCCTTCAGCAAAGTTACAAGCAACACAAAACAAACACAAATTATGAGATTGACCTGAAGCTTCATATTTGCGGCATTGCCACAAGGGAGTTCCTGAAGATGCACAGAAAATATCTGTCAGATAACGATCCCAAAACTCAGCTGCAGAAGTACAAGACTCAGTACTTGTCAGACTTTCTTGATTTGTACAAAAAGATAGACGACTGTCAGCGCAAAGCAACAGATTTTGCCAGACTTTGCATCAAACCTGCTGTGGAAGACTACATCAACAGATCTCTGGGAATAGACATTGTGGAAGAAATTTTGACAAGCAGTCATTCAGTACAGTACAGTTCCCGCTCCTTCTTCCAGTACAACATTCAGAAAGAGCTACTGCATAAGGAAGACTTCAAGAGTTTTGTCAAGTACATCTGTAACTATGAAAATTATGTGAAGGACTGGATATATCAGCACATTCAGCAGAAAATGTCTGAGGACAAGAGTTTGTACAAATTGAAGAACAAGAATCTACAGATCATTGTTAAAAAAGTGACAGAAGCCGTTGAACAAGCCTCAAAGGGAGAGAATGGTGTTCTGCTGCCAGATAACACAGAAAGCATCAAAGAGCTCATCAGTAACATGCGTAAATATCTGATTAAAGACATCTCACTTTCAGTGGAGGCAGAACAAACCATCCTGTTTCAAATCCAAAGCACATGTCATCCATTTATCAAAAGTCTCAAGCATGCAATAGAGCAACTGAAAGCACAACTGCAGCAGGAACTCTGGAAATCTGAAGACATCATCATGACTCTTGTCAAACTTCCTATCAAACCACAAGATGAGCTTTTTAAACGAGTGTTTGGTTGTGGACAACGATGTCCATTTTGTAAAGTTCCCTGTGAGGCTGGAGGCAAAGAGCACGAGCAGCATCATGCAGCTTTGCATCGGCCACAAGGTCTTGCAGAATCCTGCAATGACGACAGTGATAAACTGGTGGAAACACTGTGTACAACTGATGTGCACAGTGAAACTACATTCAGAAATGCAGACACTAAATTTCAATGGCATCCTTACAAACAGTACACTGAATACTATCCAGACTGGCACATTCCTCCTGATTGCACCATAGAGGCGTCTGATTACTGGAAGTATGTCCTGGTACAGTACAATGACAAATTTGCTGAAGAATATGAAGCTAAGCCAGCTGATGTTCCACAGGCCTGGAGGAGCATCACAAAGGAACAAGCTCTGAAAGGCTTAAAAGAAGCATTTAACCTCAAGTAAATGGACCAGAAGAAATATCATAAAGCAGAACAGTGCTTAAACATTTTTCATACACAAACGTGCACCTCTGAGAAGATAAAAGAGGGTCTGAACAGTTTTTGGCATCACCAAATAGATTAGTGAAAGTATAGATGAATCAATTTTGACTGATGAATCGTAAACTTAATAACAATAATCTTTGATAGGAGTAGAAGTCTTGACTTGAATGCAATGAAATGAAAAACAACTCAGATATTTCTTATGCAAGTTGGAAACAGTTATGCTGGATCATTAAAACAATTTGTATACAACTTTTTTTTTTTTTTTTTAATTCTTTAAGAATATACGTTTTTTGACAAAGAAATTTTTGATGATGAATTTCAAGTACCACAGGAAAACAGAGCTCATGCTTTTTAATATTTCTTTTGTTGTTTTTTGATTATTATGACTGATTTTTTTTATTCATATTTTTTAGATGGGTGTTTATCATAACTATTGCACATTAAATGATGAAGATGATAATGAAAACTTACTACCATGTGAAAAAGATGTTTCATAGAGGATGTAGCAGTTTTGTTCATTCGCTGTGTTTTTAAAAACTATGAGTTTTATACCAGTCTGTGATTAACAAAAAATGTTAAGAATTACTTTTGGTGATGACTTCCTTTGATTTTTACATTGATTGTGACAACAAGTCACAAAGAAGAGTCAGCACAAATAGACAGAAATAGTCAAAGTTGAAGTGCTTTTGGTATTTTTTATTGTTTCTTTTATTCATTTCTGCATTTATTAAACTGCAATGTGGCCTGTACTCCAAAGATCATGTTATGTTTCGTAATATGTGCAACCATTTACAGTTCTATAGCTTTGTCTCTCAAGTTATTGCATGTTTTACATGATTATCTAATCATTTTAATATTTTTTTAGAACAATGTTGGAGTGTTAAACATGTAACAAAGAAGTTAAAAAAGCTGGAAAAAGTTTTTGCATGTCTGGCTTAAACTGTTTTTCATTTTCTGTTTTGTTGATGATTTTAAAGAAATTGTCTTTCACCGTGCTTCAAAGCTACCGTATGTACACAATGACTACTGATAAAAGCTGATGTTGTTGACATCTATGCCCATTTTTATTGCACTGTTTGTTGTAAGTATGTGCAAAACCTTTCTATATTAAGATGTCAAACTGATGTTAGTGAATAAGAAATGTGTATGTTAATGTAACAGACTTTGTTCCACATGTTGATTTTGTGTTGGCCAAACAAGCCAACAGACAGGCACACTTTGGCATTTGATTTTTAAGATAATAACCTACGAGACAGTTGAAAATCTGGTAACTATGTCTTTTTCACTTTTATTGGTTAGAATTAATTTCATTTTCCTTTTTTCCAAGTTTATATGCATACATACACATATATACATATATGTATAGCAAGACAGACATTTTCTGATATGCCACATTTTTTTTATATGTCTGCATTTTTTTCATATTACTATGTACTTATTATAAAACTATATTGTTGTTTTTTTATGTGTTGTTTTACGACTGCGGTCTTTTTTGTTTATAGAGTGTTTTTTTTCTCCTTTGATCTGTGTGTTCCTATTAAACATGTAAATAAGGCTGCGCCGTAGCGACGATCGGATTGGCTGTTCAACGGAAGTTCCGGT